GAGTAATGCCTGACTCCTATTGAAATCCATGCTGGTCCTTGCAGGGTCAGCTACTACACAGCACAAGTAAGGCGGGCAGAATTTGGCCCTCTGAATGTAGATACTTGAAAGTACAGAGAGGTAGGTGACTTAAATAGATTTGGAATCAAGACACCAGCTCCAAACATCCCCCAGCTTTGGGTTGTCTGAGATCTGGATCAGTCCAGACCTTTCAAAATTTGAGAGAGAGAGAGGGGAAGAAGTTTCCTCCCCCAACCCAGCTATAACAATTGTGCTCTCAGAAACCAAATATAAGCCCTTACGGCCCAGGAAGTGAACGCTTCAGATTGAAACACTACAGAGAACCCTGAGGAATCATTCTGCCATGGAACTTTGCATGAGTGCATGCTTAGTGCCGAATACTCAGCTCATCTACTATTTCCCTGCTCCTTCCCCCGCCCCAAATCCCCCTCATCACCTCTGATATCAAGGTCATGTAAACAGCTTGGAGAGACAGACCAGCATCTTTTGGATTAGTGGTACTTCAGCCTTGTGTGCAATTGCAGGCCACTCCAGCAAAGGGAGCTTTGTTAATTCAAGCTCTCTCCCTAGGGAGAGAGGAGAAGACAAGGGCACAGGACCAGAACTGGCAGTACACCATGACACCCCCAGTAAATGGCAACGTTGATCAGCTATATTAGTGCACCGTAAACCCCATGTTGAAATACAGGCCCTGCCAAGTCAGGACTTTGTACGTTTCCACAACCTGTCCTCATCGGACAAGTACCAGGACTGAATTAGTTGAATTAATAAAAAGGACACTTGGGAATTGAAGAAATAGGAAAGGAGCAGACACAATTAAACAAGAGTCCGGCCTTTTGAACTTGCAACTTCCGCAACTGCCAAAAGGTAAACCGAAGAAAAAATACTGAGACACGCTAACGAAAGCTCAACCCTCCCCTGTCAAAACCACTGTGGATCGGAGAGGATTTTGCCAGCCATGTGACCCAAACCACTGTCGCTCTATCAAGAACAGCTGGTGGCAACAAAGAATTTGGCCAGATGTGATCTGATCTGGTTTTCTGATGATATGTTTTTATCATGGGGCCTCGGTTCTTAAAGATGTGATAAGTCACTTTTCTGAACAACCGAGCTAAAGGAGTAGAAAAAAATGTCAATAGGCAGACAGCTAAACTCCCACCACTCCAGCAGCGAGCAACCAACAATAAAAGCGAAATAGAAGCAAGGTTGTTTAATAACATCTCAAATGTATTGATCCTCAGCAAGTGATCAAACTCAGCCAGTACTCCGGGGGGAAGAAAATATCCCTCTCACTCACTGTTTAGCAGGTTGAGTCACATTTTCAACTCCCTGGTTTCTGGGTCAGCAACATTGAAAACATATGGGGGGGAAAAAGACCAGAGGGCCACAGCACTGCTACCCAGTGAGGGCGTATGGCTCCAAGCCCTCTGGTTTTTTCTCTCAGTAATGAATCGAGAACAGGTAACCATCAGTGGAAATTCCAGCTTCCCAGGCTGCAATCAGTGGCTGAGCTCCCTTTGAACTGCTGCCCGCAAGTGCTTGGTGGAAGATTTATTTTTTTAAATAACACTAATTTTCCAAGGACAGAAGTTAACCTGTTTGCACTGGCAGACTTGTGTACAGAGATGCTTTTCAAGTTGAAATAGGCACCTCGTATGAGCAAGACAGGCTGAGGGATAAAAAGGAATCCACTGAAAACACCTGCACAATTTTGAGATGCCACCTGTCTCAAAACGATCATTAAAAGAGGCTAGAAAACACAGAGAGATCAACAATTGTAAATAATAATATTCATAATGGTAGATAATAAGCCCATTCTGTTTGGCAGGGTGACATTAGCAAAGATTTCCTTCCCAAAGAGAATGCTTTAGCAAGTTTCAAGATTTCCTAAGATGCTTAAATAAGTGCAGCTTTGAACTGCTCAGCTAGTGTGAATGAGATTTAGGGAAACCACTGGAAAGTATTCATGTGATTGGGAACTGAAACCTCTATTCTAAGAATGAAACAGACTGTTTATCAGATAAATTATCCTCATCACAAAAGTAAAACAGCATTCAAGACTATAGAAGAACAGCGCCACGTTTCTCTAACAACCAAACTTAACCCTAATTTAACCCCTCACTGATTAGCCCGAAATAGGGGAGGGCTAAGGGGAATCAGACAACAGATGTTAATCACCTAGTCCCACCTTTTACACTACAGATTCAGGTATTCGGCATGTGTGTAATTGACTAGCTCGCTCCCTGAAAGAGCTGAATGGATTTAATAACTTCCTCCTGTTTACTCAGGAAGATGCTGTCTTTTATGTACACGACCCTGCTGGCAGTCAGACAGCTTTGATTAAATTGGCTTTGTGTTTTTATTATTTATTTTAAAATACATGTAACGAGTTTGGAGGCGGTAAAGCGTCTGTAACGCTACAAAGAAAATGTTGAGCGCAGCTCTGACACCAGGAAGGGTTTTAAAGAAGGGGCTAAAAAAGCCCCCTTGCTAGCAGTGCTATTTCCCCTTCTCGACTTGCCCAAAGCAACAACACAGCTCTCCCGCAATCCTGGACCAGGAAGAGGGAGTCAAGCAAGCAGGTAACTGATATGAATCATGGCTCACTCTGGTGACCTCTAATTTCTTCCATTAAACCCTGAATAGTCTCTGATTTTTAGCGGAGTGCTGCAATCTATGACTCCCCAGGGCCCAATTCTGTGCTTTTCCTAAACCCCACACTCAAACGACTCCTTAATGGTCTTTTACATCCAGCACAAGAGAAAAGAAACAGGCCCTTCCCCAGATCCCCTTAAAGTCAATGGGGAAATCTCCCATTGGCTTCAATGGGCTTTGGATCAGGTCCTTTGAGCGCCCATTCTTCATTTCCAGTAGTGATTGAAAGGGGGATGGGAGAATCATCACGTAGCCCTTCAATAAATGAACAGAGACCAGTGGGAAAGACTTGTAAATCCCATGGAAGGCTCCTGGAGCCTTCCAGTAAAGCAGCGGCCCCTAAATTAAATACGAGGTTCTGTAATTACACTACAGCTAACGCACCTGGAGAAGAGCCTAAGTGATTGATTTAGAAGGATGCGTTCCTCACTGAGTATTCAGCACAACCATCATCTCCGACTGGCTGGGGGCTGCAGAGAGCACCCAGTACTCAGGGTTGCATGAAAAAGCAAGTTTGTGCCACCACCTGCCTTGCACAAGTTAAATTATTTAAGGACACCAGAGCCAGGCTCAAAATCGACCGTAAGGAACCCTCCCCTCCTATTCTCCCCAGCCCCCCCCCCCTTTATGTTCCTTTCCTGTCCCTAGTTAACATGTCTTAGCCATGCCAGATCTAACATTTCAGTAAACTGCCCCCCTCTTTAAAGTCTTGCCATTGATTTTTTTTTATGTAACTATGGCACAGAAAACAGGATGAGTGAGAAATGAGCTACCACGAGCACAGATTTGCAAGAGAGAGGCTCCTTCTGTGGTTCTTTTTGTCATGCAAATGTTGTAATTATACATTTAAAGGGTAAAACGCTCTCCCATCACTGTAGTAGATGGAGCGGTTTGCGCTTTCCTAGAGTCTCCTATCTAATCTGCACACAGGAGCGCTTTATTAAACACCCATTATTGCTCGCTTTCCTTTGTTCTTTTAAACAGATGTCTGGTCGTTGAGAGAGGGAGAGAGAATGATTTGATCTACTTATTTCCCCTCCCCCCCCCCAGTTTAATTGGGGGTGAAGGTGTCTGAAATCTGGCCATGTTTGTAGAATAGGTGTGGGGTTAGGGTCCATTGTGGTGTCTAAGCAGCTGCTGGGCTGAAAAGGATGGCGGGGGGGGCGGAATCCCAGGCTGGGTTAAAAGTAAATGCACGCATACATCCATGCAAACCTCTCTTAGGGGCGATCTCTCAGGGGCTTTAGACTATGGGCCTAGCAAAGGAAATGCTAGCCAGGGACCCTGATCCAAAGCCCATTGAACCCAGTGGGAGTCTTTCCATTGACTACAATGGGTCACGCGCCTAGAGGGGATGGGGAAAATGAGGCTAAAGGATAGATCCCCCTTCCCCCCACACACAACTTCTGTAGATAAGGGAGCTGGCATCATCAGGGCCTTCCAAGAGGAACTTGCACCAACCCCTAGTGTGGAGGGGTCTTTTGTGTCAGCGCAATCCAGCATTATCCATGTTCAATTTCATTCCCTTTCACCTCCCCAACGAAAAGACAGGAGGGGGAGCGGGCTGAGTGCAACTCCATCTCCCAGACAGACCTGCTGTCCCTCTCCAGAGCGTTACATATTGTTTCCATTCTCCCTAGTACTTTTCTGGAATCCCATGTTATGACTTCAACCCCGGAGAAATCCCTGCCTACTAAGGGAGGAAACATTGAGAAACCCCTTCGATAGATTCTGGAAAAACTTCCAAGAAATGAATTGGAGACAGACAAATGAAACCGAGGGAGCTGAGCTGCAGGCACACACCCGTCCACCCCTCCAGCCCCCTCCTCCACGGGAGGAAAAGCTGCAAACTTTGGGAAGGAACGCAGGGAGAGTCTCCTCGGAGCTGGATTCCTGAGCGGAGCAACTAGCAACTCTCATGACTGTTTTCGTCAATATTCGTGTCTTTGTTTTATCAATATTTGCATCGCGTCTCTGCTTTCTCCCCCTCCCCTCAACCTGAAAGCGGAGTCTCCGGGTAATTTTACAATATTCACCAAGTCCAGGCTCTTTTTCAAACTCTCCCCCCCACTTACACACACACCCCCAAGCCCTTTCAGCATCTGGAGAGCTTCCAGCTGTGCAACTGCTGGCGTCCAAGGGTGCTCCATGAACCTATAAGCCTTGGCCCTGCAAAGCCGCCTTCATGGAGATAACTTCTTGGGATGGTGGCAAAGAGGTCCAGGGAGCTCTCTAATCTGGAAGCCCCGTGGAAGGGAGGCAGGGTTGGAGAGGGGTGCCCAGGCTTACCTTGGCAGTGCCACCTGCCAGCTTGCAAAGGATATGGGTTGCACACCACCCGAAGGCACCAGCTCCTGGGTCTGCTCTCCTGGCTCAGATAAAAGAAGACGACCGGGGCCAGAGCCGGGTAGGGGAGCCCCTCCACCTCCGAGTCCCCACTTCCTGCGTCCTTGTCCCCTGGACCCGAGCGACCTCCATTCCCGGACAGGTCATTAAGGCGGATGAAAGTCTTGGATTTGCCCGGCTCTGGGTCCTGCTCCTCGGCTGCTCTCGGTCCATCTTCGTCCATCCTCCGGCCAGCAGACCCGGGTCCGAACCGGGAGAAGGAAAAATGTGCCCGGGGCGGGAGGGGGTTATTAGAGGGTCAGGGACCTACAGGGAGCAGCCATGCCGGGTGGGATTAAGGGACTGCGGGAGGGTTCGGGATAAGGTTCTGGCTCGGTTCGGTGGTTCCGGCTCGGGGAAGCTTCAGACTCAGGGCTTCAGCCTCTTTCCCCAGGTGGGCGCCTGGAAGAGGGCAGGTCCCCCCTTTGCAGGCATTTGGAGCCGGATCGAAGCCGAGCCGGGACCTGGCTGGCCCGGTTCTGCTTCCCCCTCCTCCGGTCCCGGTAGCTCCTCCTCACTTTGCTCTCCTCTGCCTGCCTCCGGGATCCCGCTCCAGCCCGGGAGGAGGTACCGTCTCAGCCCCTGCAGCGGGGATGGAATCCTTTCCCCGGCTCCCCTCCCAACTCCAGCGCGCACCAGCCGCGCAGGGGCTGCTCCCAGTCCAGCCTGGGCTGCGTTTAGCGGGTCCGCATCTGTCCCTCCCGTCTGCACATCTGGCCGTGCCAATGGCAGGGCAGGTCCTGGAGGGCGAGAGTTGGGGGACCCCCCTGGGGCAAGGAGGGGGCTTGGGGTCCACGAGCCTCCCCTGGGGGCTGGGCTCCTCCTGCCCTGCAAGGGTTATCTGGGGGGAGGGGACGCGCGGGTGGGGGGGGGAAGCGGCGGAGGGAGCCCGCGGAGGATGCTCCTCCTTAGCGCTGCCTCTCGGACGGCAGAGCGAGCGAGAAGCTGAGAGCTCCGCGCGCCTCACAGCTGGATCCCTCACTCCAACTTCCAGCCCGGGCACCGCCTCCCCAGAGCCACCGTGGCAGCCAATCTGGGCTCGCCTCTGGCCCCTCGGACCTTTCCCATTGGCTCCAGGAGGTGGCAATTAAGGGAGACAGCGGCGGGGGCCACAGCTGGAATCTGAGACAGTTACTAGAGCGCTGGGGACCCCTCCCACCCCAGCCCCGGCGCACGGGCAGCCAATGGGGCTGGAGGACGGGGCGAACCCCCCTTCGGATTGGCTGCCTGCCTCTGGGACTCCGAGCCTGAATCGCACGGGGAGAGCGCGAGCTCCGGCTAGTTAGCGGAGACAGGGGAGGGGGGCGGCACTTGAATCCCCGCGCCGGCCTGGCTGGGGGTTGTGAGCGAGCCCGGGCCAGCCCGTCACACGCAGGGAGCCGCCCCGGGCCGGGCAGCGAGCAGGGGGGCCGCTGGGGCGCACGCACGGCCGGCGGCTCGAAGCTCCCAGAGCCCCTTGGGGAGGGAGGGGCGCTGGACTGTGGCTGCACTGGGGGGGGAGGCGAGGTTCTGTAGCGCCCCATGCTGGAGGTGGGGTCCCGGGCAGGGGAGCGGGCCGGAAGGCAGCGCACCCCTCGGGGCTTGGTGCCCCCAGCAGGGGCAGGGAGGGGGCTTGGGCGGATCTGTGTGTCTGGAGGGAAGCGCGGAGCGTTACACCGGCTGGGCTGGGGCCAGGCAGCGCTGCCAGAGGCGGAAGCGGCGCAGAAGGGGGAGCCGAGGGTGCAGGCGCCTTTAGCGAGGGCCCCCAGGGCGCCTGGTCCCCGGGCTCTCTAGAGTTCGCCAGAGCAGCTTCGGTTTGTTTGCAGGTGCCCCGGAGGCTCTGGCGACACTCACCACCACACTGCGCCCGCGGGAGCCAGGTCTGGGCAGAGATCCCGCGCTGGCTCCGCTCTCACTCTAGCGTCCGCCTTGCGCTAGGGTCAGTTCTGTTTCTCCCCTGTACCTTCTCCTATCCCCCCCAAGGGCGGAAGAGACATTGCTTTGGCTGGAGCGAGCCAGGGGGCTGCCCCATCGCACCCTGGTATGCCCGCTTCGGCGCCCCGCCCCTGCACAGGTGCTGCTGCCCGGGGCGCTCCCCTGCATGCGAGGCGTCCAGGGGAGATTTCCAGGGTTACAGGCCCCCAGGAGGTGCAAGGGAAGAGGGAGCCATATGTCCTCAGCAGACGGTGCAGCTGGGACTGGAGGAGAGGGGGAGCTGTATCAGAGGTGAAGCGTGCCTAGGGCCTGAGACCAGAGAGGGGCGTGGAGGAGCGTCTGCAAGGGAGCGAGGTCTAGCTCTAGCTCTAGGGGAGCCCATCGTTTGCCAAAACCAGGGCAGAGCTCCCGTCACTCCCCTGGCTTGGGTAAGCCATGCTATCCCCGCAGGTCCCCCTCCTCCCTGGCTGGTGCGGTGAGAGCTCCCCCTGCTGGCTCGCGGGGCTTTCACCACTCAGGAGGGCTCTACAGAGAAGCCATGGTGTGGGGGGGAGGAAATGGTTATGGGGGCAGAGGGGTGGGCGGGGAGGAAATGCCACTTGGAGAGACAGAGACAGCTGGGCTGAGGAAAGCAGGATAAGCACAAGCCTGAGCAAAGCAGGCTCCATGGTGGGTAACTGGTAGGTGAGGCAGCTGGAATCGTTCTGATGTCTGGATGCACAGGCAAGAAGCAGAGCCAAGGAAGTAGGGGATTAGCTCTGTCGGCCCCAGAAGGGATGGAACAGCCAGGGTTTAAGTGAGACATAGTGGGGATGCAATGCTGAGGGCCATGTGATGTTGGGAGGAGAGCAGCCAGGGAGGATTGCAGTTATGGGAGTCTGCCAAGGGACAGGTTGTGGATGGGTCTGGGAACTGGACTGTTATGGCTTGAGAGGTAACAGGAGTACCTGGGTAGGGCTGTACAGTAAACTGATGGGAAGGGGGAGCAGCTCAAGATACTATTAGTGATTTGCACGCCAGTAGTGCTGTGAGGCCTTAGCCAAGATGGGACCCCTGCGGTACAGTCACAGAGTAAGAGACAGTACCTGCCCCAAGGAACTTACAGTCAAAGCAGACCAGGCAAAAGGTAGGAGACCAATAACTTGCCCAATGGTACACAGCAGGTCTGTGATAGAAAACCTGAGTTCTATTCCCTGCTCTAATTCCTACCCCAGTGCCCTAGCCACTGGGCCATCTCACCTCTCCAAGAGGGCTGCTGAAAGAAAACTGAAGTAATGGAAGCTTCTAACTCCCCAGACAGGTCAGTGTCACAGGGGTGGCTGCCATGCACTCTGTGGCAAAGAGAAGTAGGACAAGCCATGACTTATTGCACCCCAAAGTAGTGATGCCTTCAAACGCTCCCCTTTAAACACAGCTACCTGAGTGTGCCTGCAAAGCTGCAGACTGGTTTGAGTGAGGGTCCCCTTTTAAAATTTGCTCCTGGAGGCTTTTAATTGTTGCATTCCCCTCCCCCTCCCTCCCATCCCTTCATCCGGTCTAGTCCCCCTGTTGTTGTTTTTTTTAAACTCCCAGAGTCCTTTCCCCCTCCTCATGTCACATTATCCTCGCCTTCTTCATTGGAAGGGCGGGTTGCAGCCCCTTATAGAGTCTGCCAGCAGCACGCCTTCAGCAAGCCAGAAGCCACCACTAGAGAACAACAGGCGGAAGTTCTCCCTGACCCAGCACCGGCACTCCCCTTTGTGCTCTGAATCCTGCAGGCCAGGGAGCAAGCTTGATCTTGGATTCAGAGCCTGTGCTATCGTGCCTGGGACAGAATATTACATTTATTGGCAAAACTCCAAGGCAAACTCGGCTCTGTTCCAGAATTCGCAGCGGGAAAGTGTCCAAAGAGGCAGAGGAAAGTTGAGTCAGACTCAGGGCCATGCTCTTCCCTCAGGTGCACTCCCAAAGCTACAGCTCCATAGACATCAGCCAAATTGCCCCAGGGAAATTCATGGAGTTGGGCAGCTGTAAGGGAGGGCATGTGGAAGAGTTGGGGGGGGAAGTGTACTGGAAAGAGGAGATACTGATTGCTCAAGTATATAGGATGGAAACCTGGATCCTTTCCCACATCTGGGACAGTTTAGGGGACCAACCCCATCTGGGACTATTTGAGAGACCCTCCTGCCCCAATTGAAGGCCATTTCTCCCCCACCAGTTATACTGGATTGGGAGTGGGGGTAGGTGGGGCTGTCTTTGCTGATCAGGTCCTGAAGAAGGTGTTCTCAGAGATGGGTGGGTGGGAGCTTGCTGGTAATACACTAAATTCCCGGGTTACCATCCTGGTGCAAAATACCAGACTGGAGTCCCTTATCCACACAACAGACACAGCACATGCAGCAGCAGTGTGTGCTTCTGCTACCCTATTTGCCAGGGTGTCTAGGTCTGATCTGCAGAGAGCACCTCAAGGGGGTGAAAGAAAGTCAGTCACTCTTTGGCCTCTCTACTGAGCCTTGTGACGCCACCAGTGAGTACCAATCACACTATGGGGGTTGTGATGGGGATGCCTACCTGCTAAGAAATGGATCGCTAAATCCCTTCCACATAGGCCACTGGACAGCTATCAGACGGTAACAAGTGTCACTCACCAATGGCCCAGTCTGGCGAATCAGAAGAATGAGGCTTGGTTTTAAAACCCACAGCAGCAGAGCCCCCCATGCCCTTCCCATTCTCCACCTACCAGACTGGCAGGGGAGCTCGGGATCTCTGCCTTGTAGTGGGGTGGTGGGGTAGGGGCTTCTGCCCAGTGGGGAGGGGATTCTTAGGGCTTCTGCCCAGCAGGGTGCACCTTCTGGGCTCGGGGCTTCAGCAGGAGTAGGCCTGAAGTCCCAAGCCCTGGCAGGCGCCTCCCATGGGGCTGAAAGTGCGCCCCAGCTCTCAAACTTCTGAAGATTGTCGTATTTGGCTCGGAGGGTAAGTCTGGCCACCCCAGCTCTAATGCACACTACGTGCCATCCCATTGCATAAAGCTAGGGGGAGAGAAAAGCCACTCACGCCCCTCCAATTTCACTGTTGGCTCAAAACTCTCTGTGCCTGTTAAATAGCAAAGGTGCAGTGTCTGAGGAGATATGAAGACCACTCCCCCACTATTCCTCACAGCGCCCAGAGACCCCTAGTTGAGATCAGGGCTCTGTTGTGCTAGGCTCTGCACAGAGATGGCCCCTGCCCGGACGAGCTTACATTCCCAACAGAAAGGGTGGGAGGGGAAAACAGATACAGAGGTGACTGGCCCAAGGTCACAGAGCAGGTCAGTGGCAAAGCCAGGAACAGAACCCAGGTCTCCCAGTGCCCTCTCCACCGGACCACACTCCTGCCACCCCGCAAACACCAAATTCCTTGAATAGTGGAAGATCTGGATTTGTGTTAGTGCTAAC